AGATTCACTCTGCTATGAAGTTCCATGGGTTTTACAAATGTATAGTGTCATATATCCATTTGTCTGAGTTTTTACCTTTGTTGCCCTGCCTAGAATACTCTTCCTGCATGTTTTTCCATGGCTGGACCCTTATCTTTCATCAGCTTTCTGCTGAAGTGTTAGCTCTTGTAGAGGCTTTCCTTGAACACTCAATCCAAAGGAATCCCCTAGCTTAAAAATGTGTTCATTTATTTGCTCTGTGTGTGTGGTTTGTTTTTGTCAGTCTGCCTCCGGTAAGATGTAAACTTAATGAAAACAGGAACTTACTTCTATCCTGGATATCTAGAATACTGGGTCAGTGAATATTTGTTGATAGATGAATAAATAGTCCTGCCTAGGTGTGTCCAGAATTCCTTATTACTAGTGCATGGTTTTAGTACTCATCAGTAGTGATCAAAAGCAGGCTTGTTCAGTTGGGCTTCCAGTTCACCCTGATTGACTACTTACGAAAGAATTTTGCTTACAAATTAGGTTAAGTGTTTCAGTATATTGAAGATGTGCAAAAAAAAAAGTTAGTAAGTGACATATAATTTCTTGTCATATGTAGAACTGTACAATACCATGAATTTTCCAGCCTGGTGTACATTAGAATTAGGAGCTTTAAAAAAAAGATTCCCAGGCTGGGTGGGAAAAAAAGATTCCCAGGCTTCATCTCTGAGTTACCTTCAGGAAGATTCTGCAAATTTGTGTTTTTAACACCCAGCTTAACATCTAGCCAGAACTTTTGGGATTTTTAAAGCCCCAGGGTATTAATATACAGTGAGACCTGGTGAGACTGTCTGGAGGATTTCAGTTTATAGCGGCAATTATCAAAGCTTATACATACAGGTCTTTTTAATTTGGACTTTTTCTGTAACTTTTTAGGTCCTTACTGTGTGCTATAGATATATCCTAGACACTGTTCTCAAGGAGCCTGTATTCTCTGATAAAGCAATAGAGTGAGTATAAATAATTGTAGTAGAAGGTAGAAAATAATAGGTACATAACGGGGTGCCTGGGTGGCTCAGTCGTTAAGCGTCTGCCTTCGGCTCAGGTCATGATCCCAGGGGCCTGGGATCGAGCCCCGCATCGGCGGGGGGGGGGGGTCCCTGCTCAGCGGGAGGCCTGCTTCTCCCTCTCCCACTCCCCCTGCTTGTGTTCCCTCTCTTGCTGTCTCTCTCTCTGTCAAGTAAATAAAAATAAAATCTTAAAAAAAAAAATAGGTACATAAGATTGATAGAAAACAATTTAAAGCAGAGTGGCCATTCACCCTGAGAAGAAGGTAAAAGTATAGTCTAATTCTTAAAGAGAATGTATACAGAGGAGGGGAAACCCCAGTCTTCTACAGAAGGCTGTGAGGAAATTGAAAGTTAAGGGGGGAGCCTATTAAAAGTCAGAAGGCAGTAGCCAAATTGATAAAAGGCCTAGAGTGGTCAGAAACTCAAGTCCAGACTGTTAGAGCTGTCAAAGCCAGTGGTTCTTTTTTTTTTTTTTTTTTTAAGAGGGCAGGGCAGGGGCAGGAGGAGAGAGAATCCTAGGTAGGCTCCACACCCAGTGCAGAGCCTGATGCGGGGCTTGATCTCATGATCTGAGTCGGACTCTTAACTAACTGAGCCACCCAGGCACCCCAAAGCCAGTTTATCTTATTAATAGAGCTCTAGAGTAATTAACAGAGCGTTTCAATTTTAGTTTCAAAATTTGTACAGTATTCTTAACATAAAAATTTTTTTCCTATCTAAATTTATATACTAGTAGGTTTTTCAAAAAGTAAACAATTGCATACATAAATAATCCAAACTTCAGGTTTTTTGGTTTTTTTAAGGTCTGAAAAGGACAACCAGTCCAAACTAAGTCCCTCATGGTGCACATAGAGGAAGCTAAAATCTTTTAAAGAGTTAAAATGTGGCTACTCCATGGTTACAGGGTACAAAATCAAGGCAAGAACCTCAGGCTCCATGGGGTGCCTGGATGGCTCAGTTGTTAAGCGTCTGCCTTTGGCTCAGGTCATGATCCCAGGGTCCTGGGATTGAGCCCTGCATTGGGCTCCTTGCTCCGTGGGAAGCCTGCTTCTCCCTCTCCCACTCCCCCTTCTTGTATTCCCTCTCTCACTGTCTCTCTCTCTGTCAAATAAATAAATAAAAATCTTTAAAAGAAAAAAAAAGAACCTCAGGCTCCTCATTCAGAAGTGCATGTTACCACATTATTGTGAGGTTGAGATCAATCTTTTTCTCCTTTTGCTTGCTGGTTGTTAAGAGGAATTTCTTTAGAATAGAAATGTTATCCTATTCATCTTTGTGTCTCTTGGGCATAGTAAGTAGGACAGAGAATAGATAATAGATATTTGTTACATGAATGGATGGATGGATGGATTTTGGCTTTTGTGTTAGACCTCAAAAGAAGTCTAGGATTTAGCCCTGTGGAAATTCTGGTCATTAGATGTACATATGAACTGTTAGATTTATTAAGTATTAGACACCTAAAGGGAAATAGAAAATAATCTAGAAAGCTGGGTTGGGGTCAACGTTATAGGAACACTTGAATGCCAAGCTACGGGTTTTTGGAATTTACTTTCCAACCAACTGAAAAATTTTGAGCAGAGGAGTAATATACCTACATGCATGTACATGTGCACACACATACGCACAATAGTTAAAAGAGAGAAAATAATGATTTTGACAATTCAGTTGAAGTGTTATAAAAGCTTGATTAAAGATGCTGGATGTGGGAATGGAAAAGTGGTTACAGATGTAATACAGAAAATGGTCAGAACTTGATTGCTGATGAAGTGTGGAGTTAAGGCATAGAGTACTCAAAAATGAGGCTGAGGTCGGGCGCCTGGGTGGCTCAGTTGGTTAAGCGACTGCCTTCGGCTCAGGTCATGATCCCGGAGTCATGGGATCGAGTCCCACATCGGGCTCCCGGCTCGGCAGAGAGCCTGCTTCTCCCTCTGACCCTATCCCCTCTCATGCTGTTTCTCTCTCTCTCTCTCTCTCTCTCTCAAATAAATAAATAAATAAATAATCTAAAAAAAAAAAAATGAGGCTGAGGTTCCCGAGGTCATCTTTGCCTCTGTGTGTGTGTGTGTATGTGTGTATTTAAGATTTTATTTATTTGAGAGAGAAAGAGAGAGAGACGAGCAGGGGGAGAGGGAGAAGCAGACTCCCCGCTGAGCAGGGAGCCTGATGTGGGTGGGGCTCAATCCTGGGACTCCAGAATCATGACCTGAGTTGAAGGCAGATGCTTAACTGAGCCACCCAGGCACCCCTGCCTGTATGTTTTGGAGGGTGGTGCTGTCATTAACACATGTAGTGGTTTTAAATGATGCCTGTGAGGTACTGATGCCACATCTGGGTGGATATGTTGAACTGGCTATTGGAAATATGCTGCTAAACTTCAGAAGAGATGGTGGGCCCAGAGATTAAATTAGGAGTCATCTGAGTAGAAAAGGTGGCTGAAGACTAAGGATTAAATGAGATTGCCAGTGGGACGCCTGGGTGGCTTAGTTGGTTAAGTGTCTGATTCCTGGTTTTGGTTCAGGTCTTGATTTCAGGGTAATGAGATTGAGCCCCGTGTCGGGCTCTGTGCTCAGCATGGAGTCTGCTTCAGATTCTCTCTCCCTCTCCCTCCCCCTCTATCTATCTATCTATCTATCTATCTATCATCTATCTATCTATAAATGAGATTGCCAGGGATTGTAGAGAGATGAAAACCAGGGACACATCCTTAGGGAAATTCCATTTAGAGGGGTGGATGAAGAGGTGCCAGAGAAGGAACAAAGTGAAATCTGAGAACAGTCCAAGGAGAAGGGAATAGGGAAAATACTTAATCATAGGGAAACCTATGAATAACAGATTCAGTTTTACACAGTTCATGTTATAAGCTAGGTTATATGCCAGTAGATAAAATGATGTAAGTTATTGTAAGGCATTACATTTTGCAGGAAACCTGCATTATTGTATTATTATATATTATAAACAGAATTGTTGAACATTAAAGAATATTTTGCTGGAAGCTGGTACAGCCACTTTGGAAGACAGTATGGAGGTTCCTCAAAAAGTTAAAAGTAGAGCTACCCTACGACCCAGCAATTGCACTACTGGGTATTTACCCCAAAGATACAAATGTAGTGACAAGAAGGGGCCCATGTACCCCGGTGTTCATAGCAGCAATATCCACAATAGCCAAACTGTAGAAGGAGCCAAGATGCCCTTCAGCGGATGAATGGATAAAGAAGATGTGGTTTGTATATACAATGGAATAATAATCAGCCATCAGAAAGGATGAATACCCATCATTTGCATCAACATGGATGGGAGTGGAGGGGATTATGCTAAGTGAAATAAGTCAAATAGAGAAAATCCATTATCATATGGTTTCACTCATATGTGGAACATAAGGAATAGTATGGAGGACATTAGGGGAAGGAAGGGAAAACTGAAGGAAGGGAAATCAGAGGGGGAGACAAACCATGAGAGACTATGGACTCCAGGAAACAAACTGAGGGTTTCAAAGGGGAGGAGGTTGGGGGGATGGGTATTAAGGAGGGCACGTGTTGTAATGAGCACTGGGTGTTACATGCAACTAATGAAACATTGAACAAAAACTAATGATGTGTACTTTATGGTGGCTAACTTAACATAAAGAAAAGAATATTTGCTGGACCCAGTGGTTGAAGAAATCTTTAATTTTTTAAACTTCAATTTGAGAGGAGAAATTGATTTTAATCAGTAGGCATCTTAATTGAAAGCCTTGAAATTTTAAAGGGTAAGAAACTTGCATTTTTTCCCCCTATGGGAGTAATACCTGCTATAACTGACTAGATAAATTCTGAATAGTGACATTTTTACCATACTTGAACATCTGTCTTCAGTACTTTTCAGTGTAGTTTCCCAGCAGCATTCATAAGTATAAGGGGTAAAAATATCTACATATTTACTGTTGGTTTCTCCCTAAGTAACGTTTTGGTTTTTCCTTCTTTTCAGGATCTGACTGGCATAGAATCTATGGATCAATGTCGCCATACCTTGGAACAGCATAACTGGAACATAGAGGTATAGTAGGATTCATTCTGAGCTTATTTCTTTTTTCCTGGTTTGATAATGAACCAAAGACATGTATTTTTTCACAGCAGGAATCCTTTCTCTTCATAGAAGTTTTTATTTTTTCAAAGATTTTTATTTATTTATTTATTTATTTGACAGAGAGAGAGAGACACAGCGTGAGAGAACATAAGCAGGGGGAGTGGGAGAGGGAGAAGCAGGCTCCCCGCTGAGCAGGGAGCCCAATGCGGGGCTTGATCCCAGGACCCTGGGATCATGACCTGAGCCAAAGGCAGACGCTTAATGACTGAGCCACCCAGGTGCCCCAAAGTTTTTTTTTTTTAATTTGCAACTTGTTAGTCTTTAAAAATAAATGTGTGGGAAAGAAATATTATGATCAAAGTTTATTACAAATTTTGTAAAAGATGGTGACCAGATCCCTCTGTATAGTGCCCCTCTCTCTCATTTTTTTTTCAGTGGCTCTTTGGGAAAACTTGATTTTTATACATGTGGTTTGTAACCAAATATGTTAATGTGAACTTTCTTATTACATATTTTATAGTTTATTCTTTCGGATTTTCTAGGTAGCTGTATCATCTGCAACTCAGTGATTTCTTTTTTCCATATACAGATCTTTTGTTTCTTTTACTTGATCGTTGAAATTCTAGAACTTCATAACAGTGTCAATAATGGTAATAACAAGCATTGTCCTTACTATAATGCCTCTAATGTTTTATTATCGAGTGTGATATTGTTTTGAGATAGATCACTAGAAATTAAGCTCCATGAGAGCAGAGGTATTTTTTGGTTTTGTTAACTGCTGTCTTCCTAGCATCTAAAACATTCCAGCACATCACAGGCTCTCAGTAAATATCTGCCAACTATCTTCCAATCTTAGTATGTTCATATGATCTCTGTTGAGATTACTATGTTTTAATTATAGTATGTTGTTTGAATAGGGTACTAAAGATTTCCAGAAATATATTCCTAAATTATATTTAGTTATTCAACACACTTTTGAGCTATTAAATTCTAGGCTCTGGTATACATATATCCGGGAACAAGACTAATATCCTACTCTCAGCTTAATTCTAGGTAATTTTAATTTGTAATAAATGTTGTGAATAAGATGAGTATAGGAAATGTCACAGGATCTCAGAGTTATTTTATTATTTTTTTAAAGATTTTATTTATTTATTTCACAGAGAGAGAGAGCTAGCGAGAGTAGGAACACAAGCAGGGGGAGTGGGAGAGGGAGAAGCAGGCTTCCCGCGGAGCAGGGAGCCTGACGTAGGGCTCGATCCCAGGGCCCTGGGATCATGACCCAAGCCGAAGGCAGACGCTTAACAACTGAGCCACCCAGGCGCCCCATCGGAGTTATTTTAAATAAGGTGGTGAAGTAAGGCATTTCTGAGGAGGTTATATTTGAGCTGACACCTGAATGATGAAAAGGAATGATGAATGGGAACATTTGGGGCAGAGAATGAATTTTAGGCAAAGGGAATGATGTTGCTCTGTATGATAATTTTGTGCTTTCTCCTTGTTAGATTTTTATTTCAAGCATGTGCTGGCTTTGTAAGATGACTAACTTGATAAAATGAATTGAGAAGGATACATAGCATAGATTTGAAAGAAAGCACTTAAAAATTTGTTTCTGCCAGTTCTCTATTAACTTTTTCATGTTTTCCCCATCCATAATTTCTTTGCTATATCTTTTTTAAAAGTTATTTAAATTCAATTAATTAGCATATAATGTATTATTGGTTTCAGAGATAGAGGTCAGTGATTCATCAGTCTTATATAATACCAGTGCTCATTACATCATGTGCTCTCCTTAATGTCCATCACCCAGTTACCCCATCCGCCACCTCCCTCCCCTCCAGCAATCCTCAGTTTGTTTCCCTTTTTTTTTTTTTAAAGATTTTATTTATTTATTTGACAGAGCAAGACACAGCGAAAGAGGGAACACAAGTAGGGGCAGTGGGAGAGGGAGAAGCAGGCTTCCTGTGGAGCAGGGAGCCTGATGCGGGGCTCGATCCCAGGACCCTGGGATCATGACCTGAGCCAAAGGTAGACGCTTAACGACTGAGCCACCCAGGCGCCCCCCTCTGTTTTCTTAAATACCACATATGAATGAAATCATATTTCTCTGATTGACTTATTTCACTTAGCATAATACCTTCTAGTTCAATCCACATCATTACACATGGCAAGATTTCATATTTTTTTGATGGCTGAGTAGTATTCTATTGTATGTATATATATTGTATGTATATATATATATATTGTATTGTATGTATATATATTGTATGTATATATATATATATACACACACACACCACTTCTTCTTTATCCATTCATCTGTCAGTGGACATATGGGCTCTTCCCATAGTTTGGCTATTGTGAACATTGCTTCTATAAACACTGGGGTGCAGGTGCCCCTTTGGATCACTACATTTGTATCTTTGGGGTAAAGACCCAGTAGTGCAATTGCTGGGTTATAGGGTAGCCCTGTTTTCAACTTGTTGAGGACTCTCCATACTGTTTTCCAGAGTGGCTGCACCAGCTTGCATTCTCACCAACAGTGTAAGGGTTCCCCTTTCTCCGCATCCCCGCCAACATCTGTCATTTCCTGACTTGTTAATTTTAGCCATTCTGACTGGTGTGAGGTTGCTACATCTTTCTCGATAAGCTTTCTTAGGAGACACTTTTTTCTTAGAGATTTTCAAGTTTTTTTTAGCATAGGCTATACAAAGTTAGCATATCTTCTACTCTTTTCTGTATCTGTTCTGTTAGCCCCTCTTCTCATTGTTGGTTTTTTTTAATTTAATTTAATTTTTATTTGTCAGAGAGAGCACAAGCAGGGGGAGCAGCAGACGGGGAGAGAGAGAAGCAGGCTCTCCGCTGAGCAAGGAGCCAGATGCGGGACTTGACCCTGGGATCATGACCTGAGCTGAAGGCAGACGCTTAACTGACTAAGCCACCCAGGCATCCCCTCATTGTTTGTTTTTAAGATTTTTTTTATTTATTTGAGAAAGAGGGAGAGCATGAGCATGAATGGGGGGAGGGGCAGAAGGAGAGGGAGAAGCAAACTCCCCACTGAGCAGGGAGCCCAATGCTGGCCTTAATCCCAGGACCCTGAGCGGAAGGCAGAGATGCTTAACCAACTGAGCCACCCAGGCAGCCCTCATTGTTTTTATTATGTTTTCCTTTTTAAAAAATGAGACTTGGTAGAGACTGGTTTATTGTTTATGTGTTTGGTTTATAAAAAGCTCTTATATTTATCAGTTGTTTTTTTTTTTCCGGTTTTTTGTTTGTTTTTGCCTTTGCTTTTTTATTTAAGAAAATCTGGAGTGCCTGGGTGGCTCAGTCAGTTAAGCATCTGCCTTTGGCTCAGATCCTGATTCCAGGGTCCTGGGACTGAGCCCCACATCTGGCTCCCTGCTCAGCGGGGAGGCTGCCTCTCCCTGTCCTTCTCACTCCCCCTGCTTGTGCTCTCTCTGTCTCTCTCAAATAAATAAATAAAAATTTTTAAGAAAAGATAAAAATCTGTTTTCACCCTTTTGTAGATTTATATTTTCTTAGCATCGTGATTTTTATAGTTTGGTTTATTTATGTTCTTTCTTGCATTTAAGACTGAATTTTCTTCTGAAAATACATTTTTAAAGTTTAGATTTTCTTCTGTGACCCAAAAGTTATTTAGGAACATATTTGGAATTCTTAGTAGCTTGTTTTTTTGTTTTCTGTTTATGCTTTTCATATTAATCTTTCATTTTATTTCATATAGGCATGTGTTGAGGTCCTTGTGGCTTAATAATGTTCCATTAATATTATGAGATATTTATTTATTTATTTATTTATTTATTTAAGATTTTACTTATTTTTTTGAGAGAGAGAAAGCCAGAGACAGAGCAAGAGCAGAAGGGGATGGGGAGAGGGAGGGGCAGAGGGATAGGGAGAAGACGACTCCCCGCCAAGCACGGAGCCCAACATGGGACTTGATCCTAGGATCCCGAGATCATGACCCGAGCCGAAGGCAGACGTTTAACCGACTGAGCCACCCAGGCGCCCTGAGATGTATTTTTTTAATTAATATTTTAAACTTAAAGAAAAATAGATAAAGTGAAAAGCCGTGGACCTATCATCCAGCTCCTGAAAACCAGGCATTTCGCAGTACTTGTTTCAAACTTCTTTTAAACAGATATGGATAAAGCAATCAACAAAACTAAAAAGAATAGGAGAACATATTTGCAAGCAACATATCTGATAAAGGGTTAGTATCCAAAACCTTATAAAGAAGTTATCAAACTCAACACCCGGAAACTAAATAAATCCAGTTAAGAAATGGGCAGAAGACATGAAAGACATTTTTCCAAAGAAGACATCTAGATGGCTAACAGACACATGAAAAGATGCTCAACATCATTCATCATAGGGGAAATACAAATCAAAACCACGATGAGATACCACCTCACCTCTGTCAGAATGGCTAAAATGAACAACACAAGAAAGAACAGGTGTTGGTGAGGATGCAGAGAAAGGGGAACCAACCCTCTTGCAGTGTTGGATGGGAATGTAAACTGGTGCAGCCACTCTGGAGAACAGTATGGAGATTCCTCAGGAAGTTAAAAATAGAACTACCCTACAATCCAGCAATTGCACTATTAGGTATTTACCCAAAGGATACAAAAATACAGATTCCGTGGGGGTACATGCACCCCAGTGTTTATAGCAGCATTATATATATATGGCAGCATTATCAACAACAGCCAAATGGCCATCGACTGATGAATGGATAAAGAAGATGTTGTATGTACACACACACACACACACACACACACAGTGCAGTATTGCTCAGCCATCAAAAAGAATGAAATCATGCTGTTTGCAATGAGGTGGATGGAACTAGAGGGTATTATGTTAAGCGAAATAAGTCAGAGAATGAGATACCATATGATTTCACTCATATGTAGAATTTAAGAAAAAAGCCAGATGAACATATGGAAGGGGGG